TTTTATCACGATATATCTCTTAATTTCGGTTGATAACGATATAATTCGATATCGATATAAACAATATAAAAGCCTCAGAAAAACTACAAACTATACAAATAAATTAATGTTCACCTTTTATTTGTATTTAGCCTTCAAAAAAATTGAAATCACTGTCAAATAAACATAAAATTCTCAACTTTGTCAATATTAATAGTTTTGACTTTAAACAACGGGCAGCACGGTGGCGCAACTGGTAGAGCTGCTGCCTCTCAGCTAGAAGGTCCTTGGTTCAAACCCCGGTCCAGGGGCCTTTCTGTGTGGAGTTTGCATGTTCTCTCCGTGCATGCGTGGATTTTCTCCGGGTGCTCCGGTTTCCTCCCACAGACCAAAAACATGCATGTTAGGCTGATTGGTAACTCTAAATTGTCCCTAGGTGTGAATGAGAGAGTGAATGGTTGTTTGTCTCGTTTGTCTCCATGTGGCCATGTGATGGACTTGCGACCTGTCCAGGGTGTACCCCGCACCTCACACAGTGATTGCTGGACATGGGCACCAGCGACCCCCGTGACCCAAAATGGAATAAACGGATAAAGAAAATGGATGGATGGATAGTTAAAGTTGTTGGGAAGGTATATACCAGGTGAAGGATACCTGAAGTTTTTTTGTTTTCAGTTTTGGAGATTGTTCAAGTCAAGGTTGTTGTTTGTTTGTAGTTATTTTGTATTTTTTAAATAAGAGGCAGAATAATTTTTTCTTCTTTCTGCAACCTTTTCATTCAATGTTTTTTTCTTTCTTTCTGATGAATTTCTTTTATTTTAAATGAATGAATAAATGATAAAAACAACACAAAAAAAAGCATGCATCGCTGGGGGTGTTTCAGGGACACATTGGCTCAAACTTTTATTGTGCTTCATCTTGTGACTCAGCATATTCTGTCAAGTGGAACATGTTAGATGCTCCAACCGCTAGTTAGAACGACTCTGTCACATTTTGCAGCACATTGACTGAAACCTGCAGTTTATCGGATCTTAGAAAGCCGAACCACTTCCAAATCAGCAAATTAGTCTTTTCTCTCTTATCAGTGATGTCATCTGCTTTTTCTTTGCTTGTGAAAGCTTGTTCAGTTACATTCTGACGATCATGGGCACTCATTTTGAAGAAAAAACTTAACATGCGTTGGAGCTGTGAGCTTGACTTTTGGCGTAAAGGATCAATTCGGCTGTTTTGGAGTTTCCATCAGAGGAATATATATCAGTGAGACTTTAAAAGGCAGAAACAACAATTCACGAGTTCTGCCTGACCCAAATTGTGGCCTTTGACGCCAGACTTATCTCAACTCCTCCTGGAATGTTTAGAAAACAACAAAGATGCTTTGACTGTTTCCTCACCCCTCCCTTCCCTAAGGCCGTGGACATGTAACAGAACCTCAACTGAGCTGAAGATGAATGTCACCTCTTATCTGGACAATGGCTGAGAGGGGGGGCTCTGGACTGTGCTATGACTTTCCCTTAAAAATTCAATGTTTTCACCGGCATATATGTACATGTATAACGTCTGTTTGTGTTGCTTTGCTGTGGTAGGTTTTTTAGATGCCTCAAATCATGCCATGTCTAGGACACGGTGTGAGAGATCTTTTTTTTAATACCATCTCTCCTCATGTTTTCTTCCCTTTTGTCATCGAAGCAAAATATTATTCGAATAAGAATAAAAGGGCCACGCTATTTAATAGCCGCAGCTTCGTGCACTCCGCCCATCTTTCGGAAGACTGTACGTACATATTCTCGTATCTCGGTGCAATGCCAATAAAGTTTATTCTGATTCACATACTTGAATGTTTACATTAAAACAAGTAATCAACACTTTTTTTTGTTAAGAGTTAGTAATTAATGGGATGTTTTATTAATACATAAAACCCTGACTAGTGTGTTTGCAATACTGAGGTATAAAACGTGAGATAAAACAAGCTCTACATAAAAGCAGCAACTAGGAAAAAATCAACACTAAAATTCAGTTGAAAACTTCTTAAAGCTGCTGAGTTCAATTTAAACATCTGTCTAAATTAATACAACTTTGCATTCAGTATGAGTCAGATATTTGGTGATGGTTAAAACATCAAATAAAATCACAAAATCATGTTTGAAAAGTAAAAAATAAGGTTTTACTGTAAGGATGTTACTTTTCTGTGGCCCGGTGTGTCTGTTTCCCTCGTGCTCCCTCATTAGTTTCCATTGTTGCCACCTGTGTCTCGTCCCAGCTGTTTGTTATCATGTCTCGTCTTCTCCCTGTATTTAAGTCATCCTATTCTGTCTTGTTCTTCGTCGGGTCGTCTTCGTTGGGTACGCTTCCTTGGGTCTCCTGAGTCTCTCCCTGTCTTCCTGGTCCCTCGAGTTCCCCGAGTCTCTCGTGTCTCCTGAGTTCCCCGTGCCTCCTTCCTTGCTTATGTAAGTTTTGCTGCCC